AAACAAAATGTTCATAGGGTTTTGCTCCTTCTGAGTGGCACGTGGTTACTTCTTAGACTTTCTGGCAACAAATGTGAAGAAAACTCTGGACCAGAACTACAAATTACTTAACCCTACACCAGCTAAAGGCATTAGCTACGTATCTCACTGGAGACAAGATGGCACGGTCTTCTATGGTGATATAAACTTTAGACTCTGTGGTGTGGTGCGGCAGGACTTGGGGTCCTCCATTAGGAGGCAGTAGCAGCCAGAAACTGAGCTGCAGGAAACTGTTCTCAAGTGACTGGTTTTGCCAGGCATGTGTTCTTTGTGGTAGACAAACCCACACCCTTCATATCATCCCTACACCCTTTCAAACAAACAGAACCTCACCAGCCAGTACAATTTACTTCCTAAACCTGTTCAGCACCCTCCTCATACCAATACACAAACCAGAATGTAGAGACTGAAAATAAATCCATCTGCATTCATCAGGATTTAGTTGGGATGCATTGTTTCTTTCTTTTTGGTGGGGAGGGATGTACAGGGATCAAACTCAGGACTTTGCGTTTGAGAGGCAGGCGCTGCATCAACTGAGCTAAATCCCCGGCCCTGGAATGAACTGTTTCTTGTAATTAAGGTTTTAAGTAACTCATGGTTAATACTGAAGTTAAGTAAACTAAGTGTGGAGATTACAGAAACTCCCAGGACATTAGTGACCTTCCTCCAATTACATCTTTTATTCAAATGAACTTTAGAAAGATGTAGAGCCAGCCCTGGCAGCACTCCGCTCTCTGCTTACCTGGAATTCCAGCACTTAGTGGGCTGACGCACTGCTGAGAGCTGTAGGCCAGCCTGAACTACACAGAGAGACCTTGCCTTAAAAAAACAAGAATAAGGGCTGAGGATTTAGCTCAATGGTTCTGCTGCCTGCCTCACAAGCGCGAGGTCCCGAGTTCTATCCCCTTACCAAAAATAAATAAATAAATAGGGGGCCAGGATTTAGCTCAGTGGCACTGCACCTGCCTTGCGCACAAGGTCCTGAGTTGGATCCCCAGGACCATAAACAAACAAACAAATAAGAGTAGTAGAGATGTCAGCCAGGCATGGTGGCAATGTTTGTAATCTCGGCACTCTGGGAGGCTAAAGCAGGAGGGTCACGAGTTCAAGCCCCAACAGTTTGTAATAGACAAATCTTGGAAACAGCCCAAATGCCCATCAACTGATAAACAGATAAAGATGTGTTTTTTTGTTTGTTTGTTTTTAATACAATGGAGTACTACTCTGCCATATAGGATTCACTTGAGACATTTCTAGGTAAATGAATGCACCTTGAGACCATACCCTTAAGTGAAATAAATTGGACACACATATGTAATTATGACATTGTTTCTCTGTATGAGAAACCAAAAGTGGAAATAAGGACTAAAATGTATAATAGATATTGGGAAATGGGAAGAAAATGTTCAAATGAGAATAGGAAGTGGGGAGGGGGAAAGGAAAGAAGTAACAAGAACAAAGAAAATAGAAGGAAAAAGGGAAACAAAGCTTTGGTATATAAAGAAGGGAAAGGGGTTGAAGGGAGGGGGGAATGGGAAAAAAAGCAAGATATATCATGTACAGGTGCAAATTCCCTATGATGAATTTTATAGTTATGTATATTTAAAATGTACCAATAAATGTTTTGTTTCAAAGCAAAACAAAACACATATTCAAGCCCAGTCTGGGTGGCACAGGGATTAAATGAAACTCTGTCTGGAGAGAGAGAAAAAAAAAGGGTGGGGTAGGGTGGGGATGTAGCTTAGTACAAACTTCTAGGTACAAACCCAAGTGAAAAAACAAACCCTAAAAGGGCTGGGAATTTAGCTCAATGATACCAGTGCCTGCCTCATAGTGCAAGGTCTTGAGTTCAAACCCCAATACCTGAGTTTGATCCCCAGTACAAAAAACATAACAAAAAAAAAAAAAAAAAAAAAAAAAAAAAAAAAAAAAAAAACCCACACAACCATGAAAGCTAGCAAAACACAACCTAGCAAACACATATGTTTCTTAAACTGTTAGAAACATCAGGCTTTCTGTTCTATTTACTTCCACAAAACTGACAAAATAGTATCTGGACTTGATTCCTAATGCTTATTGATAATAGGAAAAACACAAAATGCTGCTACCCCCTCAAATTACAGCTCTAAACTGTTTGTTGACACATGGTCCTGTTGCCCAAACTGGCTCTGAATTCACCCAAACTGGCCTTGAACTGCTAGGCTTAAAGAACCTCTTATCTCAGCCTCCCAACTGGCTTAGACAGTTTTGTTTTGTTTTGTTTTTGTACCAGGAATGGAACTCAGGACCTTGTGCTTGCTTGAGATAGGTGTGGTGCCACTGAGCTAAATCTCTGGCCACATTTTTATAGCTAGCACACATAACTGTATTTTCTAAAAATGATGACTGCTCTCTTTCGTTCAAAATAATAACATCCACCTTGGTGTCGTGGTGCATGCTGATAATCCTAGCACTCTGGGAGGCTAAGGCAGGAGATCGAAAGTTCAAGCTCAGCTTGGAAAATGTAGGGACTTAGCCTAATATCAAAATTTTTTGTTGTTGTTTTTGAGACAGGGTCTCATTACTTCATAGCTCAGGCTGGCCTTGAACTCCTGGTGCTTCTTCTGCCAGCCTCCTTGAGTGCTGGAATTGTAGGTGTGCATTACCACACCTGGCCTTGAAAACATTTTTTCACAGGGAGAAGGGGCTGGAGTGTAGTAGCTTAGTGCAAAGGTCCTGGGTTCAAAACCTAGTACAAAAAGAAAAAGAAAAAGGCTATAGTACAGTGCCAAGGCACTGGGGTCAAACCTCAGTATTGCCAAAAACAAATAAATAAATAAATACTAACATTTACATGGCACTTACATCTAACATTATTCTAAATGTTTACATAGTTTATTTCACTTATGGTCTTAAGAATCCTATAAAGTAGGTTCTGTTACTATTCCCATTTTTCAAATGATGAAAATGAGGCTCACAGGTAATTCTTATCTAGAATTATTTTTCCAAACATTCACTAGCTAAATTTCAAGCTAAACATACATGAATTCTAAACAAGCCAAATTTCTGACAAAATATTTAAATATAATCATCAATTTCAATGAATGAAGTCGGTTCTCCTCAATGTAATACATTTTCTAACTGGTAAAGGGACCAGTAAAATATCTTATATTTGTAGTTGGGTTTCCAACTGATAGTTCCCTAAATAAGTCTTTCTCAAACAAGAGACAGATGAAAATAGGACAAATTTCACCTGTCTACACAACCTTAAAGGTATGTGTTGTTTTCAGTTTTTCTAAATATTTTGCATTAAGCTAAAATTACTGCTTTACAAAACAACTCTAATAGGCACTAGATAGATAAACTGATAGCTCAATTCGGAGGGTGGAAAAATGACTTAGTAGCAGTCTGGGAGAGAATGTTCCTGGAAGCCACCCAAAGCGCCCTAGGTTAATTTATCCAAATCTAATCTGTTCTAATGTGCACCAAGGCCCAATTCTTTTCCTCCACGAAGCCAGTGCAGCCTCTCCTTCCTTCATCCTCTGTCCAACCAACCCTCCCTGTGAAGATGGGTGCCACACAATTTCAGTTTCCTCACGTCATAATGCTAATCAGAAATCTCTCAGGCTATTCTCCCCTGCAGGGTGTGGGCGTTTTTTTGTCACCATCTGCTCTCAGTACCCAGTATAATAAATACTGAACATAGACACTGCGAAAATTCAGTAAGTTTCTTGAGGCTTTCTGGCTTCAAACATGCATTTGCACTGATTTTTGGTTGAGAACCACCCTCATGCCTGAGTCACTGCCAACCGAGCAAACAGCTCTTCCACAAGTACCCAGTTCTGTTTGTCCACTAGTTTCATGGTAAGATAACTCAAAGTCCTACATAGGAATCCAAGCCCTTTTCATTTGGTCAAATGTAAATAAGCCAAAACGGGATTATTGCCCTGTTCAATCCGAGGCAAAAAGCTTTTCAAATCCTCACTTATGGTTTACACTTCCTCATTATGTTTCTATTTTAAGCACAAACGCTTTAATTCAGGTGCCACCTTAGACCTAAAGCAGTCATTATATTTACAAGTGTGACCAGAGGTCATGGTGACAAAATGTAATAAAATGCTTGTTGAATCCAAATTGATTCTATTTCTAGTCCTGGAGTCAGAATAAGTCATAAAATGATCATAAGATTATGCGGCCAAACAAATACTGCAAATTATAATTTGCTAACCACTTTCCAACGTTCATTCAAAATTGAGAAATGGATGGCGCAGTTTAGGGCCACGTGTTAGGGGATGCTGAAAGAAGTAAACCCATCTGATAAAACGTGGGGCTAGATACCACCTCCTGCAAGAATACAGGGGGGAAGAGGGGAGCATGCCATAAGGAATTACGACTTTATGTACAGGTTCCAACTCCCCATGATAAATGTAGCCATACATACTGCAAACATGTACTAATAAAAATAAAAATTTAAAAAACAGCATCATCCTTTTGTATGTGGAATTCGTCAGAAAGCACAGGACAGTGTGTGTGTGTGTGTGTGTGTGTGTGTGTGTGTGTGTGTGTTTTCTCCAGGGGTCAAACTCAGGACCTTGCGCTTGCCAGGCAGGCGTGGTACCACTGAGCTATATCCCCAGCCCAGACTGCTTTTGATATATTCCAGGCCAGTACTGCCTGAAGTTCCGTAGTTCCCCCAGGACTCCTCAGTACTGCCAATCAGCCACTGATTTACACATTATGTCCTTATCAAATACAAGTATCACAAAAGACATATGCAGAACTCCTAACTCGACGAGTCATAAAGGGTCAGTGAGGAAATACTGTATGTATCAGTGTGATTTGCCATATACTGCATTATCTACGATTATTCAGAGTATCATGGTATTTCACAAAGCTTCTTAATTCCAACGCCCTGTTGCTCCTTTGTTCAGGTTAAGCAGGAAGAGACTGGACTACAAAAAAAGTTCCTAGTACAAATTCACCTTGAGAATTCTGGAGTACATCCAATTTCAATAGCGACTGCATAAAGTATAGACAATGGGACAGTAAAAATCAGTACATGAAATCAGGACAGCAAGTATGCTCAGTGCTGGTGGTCGCGGAACCTAGTTTTCTCAGACCCGATTGTTTTAAGTCTGCAGTCATCGGATCACGCCTTTCAAAGCCCTACCTTACAATCTTGCTTTCTGAGTTTATTTTTCCAGTTTGTGGCAAGAATTTGTGGTTTTAGGTCGTTGCCCAGAAACGTCACAGAAACAGACCTTTCTATAGGATTCATTCAAAGTTCCTGAATTTGCTACTCGGGCTCTGCCTATGAGTCAGGATGCCTCTACATTGGGAAGGCTAGTTGGACGGAAGATGAAGGGAGTGCGGGGACTTTCGTGGACTCCAACTCGGAGGGGAAGAACAGCTTTACGTGAGCCGCAGTCCCGCTCCCGCAAGGTACAGCCGAACGGACAGGTCCTCCAGCCTCGGTCCCCGGCGATGGAGGGTCCTCAAGGCGTCTCAACATTAAGGCACCTCAAGTCCTGACCTCGGCGACAGCTGCGCTTGCTTAGTCCTGAGGCCGGCCGAAGGCACCGGGCCGCGTTCCCACCCGCCAACCCCGACTCACAGCCGGTCTCCTTCTTGATCTCCTCGAGCTCTTCGTCCCGCAGTAACGTGGAGGCCCGAGACCCCATTACCGTGCCGGGATCTCCTCCGGGAGCGGCGGCGCCTGAAGCGACGGCTGCAGGAGGGAGGGAAGAAGGAAAGAGAGGGCTAGGGGTCAAGCAGCGAGAGGCCAGCGCTGCGCCGCGGACCAGGGAGGGAGCCC